CTTTGAAACTGTATTTTGGTTTATTAAAAATTCAGTTTGACTACTTTCACTTTCAGTTCCATAATTCAGATTTTTGTGTCACATCCTGGTCCTTGAGGAAGCCAGGCAGAGTAATCAAACACAGATCCACAGATTTGCGTGCCTACGAATTGTTGTTTGAGTTGATGTTTTAAATTTAGCTTTGTTTTTTTTTGTTTTTTTGTGTGTAAATCACTTTTGTTTGAACTTATTTAGGGGATAAAAGGGGCACATATTATAAGATTTATTCTTCGTCTTCTGGTTTTCATTTAATTTGATTGTTTTTTTGTTGTTTTGTTTTTAAAATGAATAAATTTCTAACAAAAAAAACTTTGAAGTTTCTCTTCTGGATGTAACAGAGTTGATGCAATCCACTGTAAAAGTGACAAAAACAGACAAAGTTATTTTATTGCAGTGATTAATTTGACCTATATGTAGAAAATGTTACATTTACGTCACATCATGGATCAGTCAGCAGCAGCATCTGATCAATATCTGATCCATGATGTCATCATGTAAATGTAACATTTTATACAAATAGATAAAATTAATCACTGCAATGAAATAACTTTGTCTGTTTTTGTCACTTTTACAGTGGATTGCATCAACTCTGTTACATCCAGAAGGGAAACTTCACCAAAGTGAAACATAAATCTGTGGATCTGTGTTTGATTACTCTGCCTGGCTTTCTCAAGGACCAGGATGTGACACAAAAATCTGAATTATGGAACTGAAAGTGAAAGTAGTCAAACTGAATTTTAATAAACCAAAATATAGTTTCAAAGAAAATTAATTCAGATACAAAACTTTAAATTCAGCTTCAATTTAGTAAAATATATTCTCAAACGAATGCATTTAATTTGAAATTATGAACATTCAGATTCAATCTGAGCAATTCAAATTGGCACAAGATTTATCCCATAGAGCAGTGGTTCCCAAAGTGGGGTCCTGAAACATCAAGGTGGGGTCCTGAAAAGATTTTCTAAATTAATTACATTTTTGCCTTAGTTGCCTAAAATGTATAAATGTAGGATAATAAATATTGTAACTATGCCCATGTTTAGTTGGCCTGATACAAATATTTATCATCCAAAAACAGTTGAGGGCTCAGGTCTCTGCTGCTGTTATTTTGTGGGTTAAAAGCTGAAAAGTTTGGGAACCACTGAACTTCAGAAATCAATTTAAAGGGTAATTGGTGATGTAATATTTCCCCTATAATTTTTACAAAAACACAAAATAAGTATAAATAAGTATTTATATTTGTGTAGCCTTTGTTTTAGGGTTATTAACAAAGTTTGTGTACTCAGACCAGTAATATTTGGAGTCACAAGTTCTTGCCATGAATATTTTGTGGTTCAGAAAATAAAAAGTTTGGGAACCACTGCCATAGACAACTGCAGCCTGTTTGTCTGTTAGCAAAATATCACGTGAACTGCTGTGGTAGTAGCTGAGAGTCATGATGAACTCACGCTCCGAGCTCCAACAGATCAAAAAAAAAACATTTGTTGTTTTTCAAAATAAAACTCTGAAGAAGACTGAGCAGAAGGAGGTGTTGCAGAACAAGAACCAGACCAGAACAGAACCAGGACCAGGACCAGGACCTCGGGTCTGAACCCACACAGATCAGCTGATCAGGCGGCGTGCTGTCACCTGGAGTGGGCGGTCCCGGTCAGGTCGGCCTTCAGGCTGCTGTGACGGGACAGTTTGGGCTGGGAACGGGTCCGACGGAGAGACTGCTTCAGTCTGCGCGACAGGAAACCCTGAAGAAGAAGAAGAAGAAGAAGAAGAAGAACAGGTGAGGATCTGATCAGGTGTTTATTGATCCGTGGGGTTTTCAGATATCGGATCACGCCGGACAGGAAGCTGCAGGCTGAACGAGCCGACACAGGAAGCAGGTTAAGAATCGAGGTGATGGTGGAACCTAAAGAGCTGAGCAGCAGGTTGTTTCAGGTGTTGTTCACCTGCAGTGTGTTTGTTTATATGAAACTGAGGCTGTAACCATGGAAACAGTCCGAGTGTGATGGCGATCTGAGGATCAATCAGGTGCGGTGGGATCATGACTCACCTGCAGGGGGCACGGCTCAGCTGATCTACAGCTGACAGCAGCTCAGCTCCCGTTGCCATGGAAACTACAGGCTGATGCTGGCGGTATGTGTGTGTGTGTGTGTGTGTGTGTGTGTGTGTGTGTGTGTGTGTGTGTGTGTGTGTG